TGAGAGTCGAGCCAATTTCAGAAGGATACTTGGGGATAGGTGTGGGTAGCTGAGAGTGTGGATGTCGATGTGAGTAGTAGCAGTATACATACACTCACACACCCACATGCACATCCACATCTACATCTACAATCACCCACACCCTGTTTATCGAAAAACGCTTTCCTTCTTCGTGTTCCTTTTTTTTCTTTTGTTTTTATGTTTCTTCTCTTTTCGTTCTTCTGTACGTTACCTTCTAAAGCTCGGCCTTTACGAGCATTCTCTCCTCTTTTTTTTTTGGTCTCTAAAGTTCTCAATAACTAAAGTATACCATGTTAAAAAAACTAAACTCGCAGCAACAACTATAGCCAAGAGCGGCGGAAGCCAGAGGCTCTGTGAGGCTTGAGCCTCACCGGAATTTAGCCTCTATAGGCTCAGCCTCACCGAAATTATGAATCTGATTTTTTTGCGCATTGACCTATACATGTCTGATATTGATGTTGAATGATTGAAAGCTGAAGTTCGTATAGTTTTTGACTTTTGTTAATCAGTAACTAAAACAAATCACAAAAATTTCAACAATTTGTGAAAGTTTAACTGCATGTCAAATAAGTAGACAAATGTTTAAACCAGAGGTGTAGAATAAGCCCTTCTGCGCGAACGCGCGCTCAGGAAAATTTTTCGAAAAACCATTGACTGTGAAATTTTTTCTTTCGCGAAATAATAAGGAAATTTGCTTCAATGAAAATTTTATTTTATACATAAATGATCTGATGTGTTCATTAGGATACAGTATATTTTAAACATATCGTAGTGTCTTCTCTCTTTTCATTTCTTTAAGAACAAGATTCAAAAAAAAATATTTATTTTACTTGAATATTGACGGGAAACACATAATTCATTTTTCTTCGTTGGGGAAAAGTTTTCGTTTTTACAAAGGATTCCGCATCCCAGGCTTAAAGAATATCATGAATTATTGAAATTATATCTAACCATTCCGGTTACGACTGCCACAGCCGAACCTACATTCAGCGCATTAAATAGAATAAAAAATATACTTCGTCCTTCGATGAATCAATAATGTCTTAACCATTGTTTACTACTACATATTTGCAAAGAAAAACTTGATAAAATTGATCCAAATCAAATCATGTCCAAATTCATATCATTAAACGAAAAAAGACAAACTTCTTTTGGTTCAATATTCTAGTGTTAAAGAAATGATCTGCATCTTTTTTTTGAAAACTTTATCTTTCTGTAGAAAGCTAGAAACTCTATTAATCGAAGACGGAATAAATTAAACGCATTAATTTTTTGATAGCAAAAAAAATCTAACAGTGGCTAATCACCTATACTTCATTTATATTGTCTTATGCTAATATGTAAAAAGCTACTTTTGAGCCTCACCGGATTTCAACACGTTCCGCCGCCCTTGACTGTAGCGTGCTTTTATGATTATATGCCTAACTGTTGCTTCATGCTTATAAAAAAATTTATCTGTAAGTGCTCCCACGCAAAACAGTATCTCGCATCTGCTTAAATAAAAAAAAGAAAGAGAACAGTAATAGAGAGTTTCTTCTGTTGTGAGCGACGTGTTTATATTTTTTCTTCTTAAATAAATACTTTTGTTTCGAAAGAGCTTTTTAATAAAGATACGTTTTCAGTCAGTGGTCTTACGTATGCTAACAGTAACAGAAATGCTGAGAAAAGAAGTGTGAGTAGCTGTAAGTTTCGAGATGTTTTTGATTTAGAATTGATATAATCAAATATTTTTTGGTTCATGTAAAAAACAAAGAACTTTTCTTATACACTTAAAAACTAAAATATTATATTTCACTATGACATAATGATACAGCATCATGTTCATTTACTGTATTAGACAATTTACAATAGTCCTTCGATTATCTTAGATATATTCGTCGACGTGTAGAAGTATTTCTTTTAACTTAACCCATGTGAAGAAGTAGTTTTAAATGGGACTTTGCATACCTTTTCCAAATGTGATATTCAGACAGCATGCGTGAATAAGTGTAAGTGAAAGAACAATATAACACACTCACCCATCCCACCAGTGCACTACATTTTTTTAACAACTTACACAATAATTTTAGATAATGGGCAATACGGACAGTACAATAAAAGAAGAACAGCGTATTCTTCGTCATCCACAAACAGGTGAAGCAAGTGAATTCTATTGGGCTTGTCGAAATGGTGATATTGAAAAAGTGAAACAACTTCTACTAACTGTTTCATACGAAGATTTAAATCGACTTGAACCGAATGGAAGTACACCACTTCACGCAGCGTCTTACTCTGGCCATGTGGAAATCGTCCGTCTTCTACTACACAAACGTGGTTGCCGACGAGATCGTTTAAATCGACATGGACTGACTGCTTATGAAGAAGCATTTTCCGACGACATTCGTCAGTTATTTCATCGTCCTCCTGGAAGAAATCGATTTTGTGATCAAGATGATGGTAAAGAAGATGTTGAGAAAATGTTTCAAGTAACCGGGAAAGATGATGAAGAAGAAGAAGATGATGATTCTGAGGAATTTTTTGAAGATAAATGGCTAGCAGAGCATGCAACGTCAAAAGAAATCGAAGATGCAAAGAAACTTTTAAGTGCAGTAAAACGTCTTGCTCAATCCAAACTAACACTACTATTGGCCACTGATGCCGATGAAGATTTTAAACAGAGAAAGCAAAAAGAAGATCTCAGTGAAATACTTGATGAACACGTTACCCACGAACATCCAGAATACGATAAATGTAGAGCACTGGTTACTAAAGCTTTTGCAGAAAACAAACCAGAGCCTTTGCTTCGATTGTATTCATTGGAAACAGGTTTTTACCGTGCTCTTACCGCTGATGCTGATCCTTTGATTTTGCCATTATTTTTATTATTAAAGAAATTGAAACCTCGTTATTTTCAAGGCGTTTCCTATCGTGGTTTAAAAATGACTGCCAAAGATTTGCGTTCTTACCGATGGGCACTAAAGAAAAAAGGTGCTATTCAAACACAAACATTTTGTTCAACGTCATTAGATCGATCTGTAGCCGAAGGATTCGCTGGTGCAACCAATATGAATAACGAAGAACAAAGCGTTCTAATGATATTTAACTTTGCGGAGAAATGTGACACAGCAATTAATTTAAACAAATTATCCAATGAACTTCCATGTCTATCAGAATATGAAAATGAAAAGGAAGTATTAGTGCTCCCCGTGACATTATTCTATGTTGCACATATTGAAGAAGGAACAAACTACATAACAATTTACCTGAAAAATATTGCTGTTCGACCAACTAGTCTATTACGAGCTATAAAAGTTATACGCAAAGCTGAACTAGGTGACGAAGAAAGACAAAATGACGAATAAAATCTTGAGGGTGTGGGTGTATGATAGTGTATTTTTCTCTTACATCCAGATTCACACCCACATCAACTCTCACCCACACCCTAGTTATCAAGGTCAATTTCCAAATAATGTTCTTCCGATTAAATGCTAATTTCTTATATCATAACTAATCCTTTGTTATCAATAAAAACCATTGTAAAAACAACTCGAATCTTTTCATAACATTCGATAATATTGTGTTCAAGTAAAAGACTCAGATGTGGAGGTGTTATGAAAGAAAAGATCTTCACACATACAAGTCCGATTTGTTTAAATGATTATTTCATAGACTTTTTTATTCTGATCACATATCAGCAGTATTGAAAAACACATAAGATTACACAGACGTTCATATTGTAACACACACATACAAGCAATGTTTTTGAACCAGATATGATTTGGAAGAAGAGGTTTTTAGTCAATGTTAGGGATTTTTTGATAACATGAAATAGTCATTTTATAATCATCTAGAGTGTCGTGAATACATTCAAGTTGACAGGAGTAGTTCATACAATTCTAATGAATAATCTACCAACTGTGTCAACTTGTGTCGAAGAACTTACAACAAATATAAGAGAAATCTGCTTATTTTTCGTAGAAGAAAAGAAATTATTGAACGATATTAGTCCACCTTTTGTTTTCGATACTTTATGGAAGTCTTCTGTAGAGGATGAAAGGTTAGAAAAGATCGATGATTTTGAATGATATTGTTTCTCAAATAGATCGATCTTTTTAAGTTCTTCACAGTCATATTTTGGGGAGAAATTAGTAAAATAATTGATAGATTATTACTTGAAATATCTTTCTTCATGGAGATAAAAGTTACTGCGATCGAATCTATATCATATTCTTTGATATTGATTTGAACATCTTCACATTGATGTTTGATTTTTTTTCCATTATTTAATTCGTTATTCATCTTCGAATGATATAATTAAATTATCTCATCGTTCGAATCTTTCGTAATGAGAAATGTCTTTCTATCATTAATTTCAGTACATACCTTCACTTGATTAGGATAAAAATATAATGACTAAAATATCTTGTTTTTCTTTTCGTTTGTTCTTCTCATGTTTAACCAATTGTGATAAAAAAAAAGAATATTTCGATTGGAAATATAAACAAATATTTGTATGTGGATATGGCCAATCAATAATATATTTCCTACGTCTTTTACTTAGCTCTTTTTCTTTTTATGTTTGCATTTATAAAATACAAGAGAAAAGAATAACGTCTAGTCACTAGACTGGATCCTACTATTCTTTCAAAATAAAAAAGAGTAGTGTATTATGATAAAAGAAATTGTTTATGAGAGAATTAGTGTGTATGTAGTATTAATTCATTTATTCGTATATCTAATCCTTGAGTTTTAGTTATTATTTTAAGGGTGTGGATATGAATGTGGGTGGAATGATGAAGATAAGATGCTCATACTCACACCCGCCCACGCCCAATACGGTTTTACACTATATGTTCACATTATCCGTTGATTACATCTGATATTCTAGAAAATATTAAAAATTAAATCTAAACTATTGATTACTCTTTTATTATTCTCCTGTCATAAAATAAAATAATACACATACTTCACATTCTTCTATGCCAATTGTTTTCATTAAATAAAGAAAAGAATTTCGAGTTCAAATAATATTTGTCATCATAGTTGATTTATTAGAAGAATACTGATTGTTATTTTTAACAATAGATTTTCCAGAGATAGTAAAAAGTTTAAAAAATATATCATAATAGAATTTATGATATAAATAATAGGAGTTTTTGTTGATTATGAAACAATAATTAAAATCTGAGTAAACTTTTTTTCAATCCTTTCCTTATTTAAGAACTTTTCCACATAAAAATATGAAGTTAATTTCTTGTCTTTTATCTATCAATAGAAAATAGTTTGAAAAAAAGATAATATTATACTGATTGATATAATCATCGATTAATAAAATTATCACCAACAATAAATTAACTCTATACTTAACTTTTATGACTATACAAGAAAAATTATATATTTATGATTATTACAAATAAGAAAATATCTTTTCACTTATTTTATATAACTGAAGTAAATTCACATTTATCAATATCTATAGTTAATCAATATTTGTCGAGAATATTCAATAAAAATTCTAGTGATACTTATTTAACAAAATGTTTAAAAGAAAAGTTATCAAATTATATTTCAATAAATCGAAATGAAATGATAAATATTTGATTTGAACAAAATTATTTTTCTTTTATTTAAAATGGAATTTTAATTTTGAAAGAAGAAACACTCAAATCTCTTTCTACATTTCTTCAAATATATCTTGATATTCTTCGATTCGGTAAAGTTAATTCAATATCCTCATCTAGACTTATTAATCGATAGAAACTCAGTTTTACATTTTCATTTCCTTATATTCGTCTTAATAATCTTTCTAATTTATCAAAAATATTTCCATCATCATTTATTCTAGCTATTTTTTGCTCGTCATTCATTTAAACGTCTTACATCAGGTTATAAAGAAAGAATTGTAACACTTAGTAATGATAGAATTGAATCTGAACCTGAATACGATCCTATGCGGATGACCATTAATTGCCAATGTGTTGTTTCTAAAAGAATTCATCGATCAATATCAACAAAAGATTCATGTATAAATACTATTCTTTCATCTGAAGATTTTATTCATTATATTCTTATTGGTACTCATAGATTGAATGGAATAGCTCAAATGAATTATCATTGGCAATTATATTCAATACTTTATCAAGTTTATAAATTTAAATATAATTTTATTAGCAAATATGGAATCTTTAATGATCATTTTTCTTAATTTCTTGAATTTATTTACTATATCTCATTGGAATATTGAAAGAAAAAATGATACATCTGGTCTTAAGAAATCGGATTATTAAAAGTATTATACGACATTGCCAGATGATCTTATTAGTCAAATTATCAAATTATATTATGAAGATTCTCGTCTATTTAAATATACAATAGATGATTATGTTGGAAATCGAACGACATTATTGCAAAATGGCTATCATTTAAGTGGTTAGTGAAATAATTGAAACGGTAAATTATTAATAATATAGGCTCGTAGTGAAATGAAGCGACCAGTGAATAAACTTTTTTATTAGTTGATAAAATGAGGTGGAAAGTAGGAAAATTAAAATTTCTCGTAGTATTGTCCACTTCAATTTTTTCTCTTTTTCTTTTTCTTCATATATCTGTATGGCATTTTCCTCTTTTCCTTCATATACAATTATATGGATTTTCTTCTTTTCGTTCACATATATGTTCGTATGGGTATTTTCCCTTTCGTTATTTTAATGCGTTCTTCTTCTGTTCTTTTAACTTATATTTAAATGTGTTATTTCCACGTGATGAACAAAAGGATATCATAAGTATTTTTCCTAGAATATGTTGTATTACAAGAGATGGGAATAATCAAAGTAATCATATGATCTCCTATAAATACTTGCGTTTTCTTCTTAAATAAACAAATTATTACTAAGCTTCCAAACTATCATCTTCTTCTACAATTTACAGTAAGACTAACAATATGATTTATTTTGTTTTTCCATGTCTTCTCGTGTCTTAATATCATTCAGAGATTTTTTTACAATTCATCGTTCTTTTTCGACTTTTTGGATTCTTTCGTGCATATGCGTGTATATAATGGTCATTCTTCAGATGAAATCGCTCGCTGTCTACTATTATCAGCAACCTAGTAACGTTGGTATTCTGTTTTAGATTTTTCACTCATCTTCATTACAAGCTCATGAAATATTAATTCTGCTCAACGACAAGTTAAAAATCAAGCACCAACTTCAATACACAAACAAACACGTATTATTTTATCACTCGTACACTTAAGTGAGTGCTTATTTGATATATTTCTATGTTTGATAAAATCTACTGAGAATGTATTACATATATTCGCTTAGAAGCGGCCCTACTGAGATGGTTGAGTATGATCTACTCTGTCAATAGATATATTATGTAGGAGTGAAAAATGAGGAATTGTTGATGGTAGTGAGATCCTTTTTTTCACTAGGGAATTACCAACGTTGCTATTACTTATGATGTACATGAGTATATATAAACAAAGAGAGATGCAATGAACAAAGATTAAGCTCGTTATTAATCTGTTTGAACGAGAAATGAGTGATTGTTGTTATGATTATTTATTTTTATTTGTCTTTTATCTAGATATTGAATATGTTCAAGCATTTGTCGTTGAATGATCTAGATTCACGACGAGCCGAGATCAAAAATAATATTGAAGATGCTTATAACACTCACGTTCGTCATAAAGTACGCAAAGTCGAACAGAAGAATATCCTCTTAATTGGACGAACACGTACAGGAAAATCAACAATAAAAAGAGTACTTGTGAATCCGACGGTGGTAACCGAAGAAATGACTCTTGCATCTCAAACTAAAGAAGCTACTTTTGAATCATTTGTTATTGACGACAATCATACAGTATTAAATATCATTGATACACCAGGATTGTTTGAACGAGGAACTGATGTCCAAAAAGTTCAAGATAATGCTGCAATTCTTAAAACAATCGAACGTTGCATTGAGCGAGAAATTACCAAATTTCACCTAGTAGCTTTCTGTGCCTCATTCGAATCAGGTATTAACGAAGACGACGTCAAATCTATCAAGGCATTGATTGATTTTCTTGGGCCGGATGTCTCGAAAAATTCCTGTTTGGTTGTAACCCGATGCGAATCCAAAAATACTGAACAATTACAAAATCTAAAAAACGAAATTAAATCGGATATTCACTTTAAACCACTCGCCGGTTATTTCAAACAAGGTGTCTTTTTCTTCGGTGCACTCGATCGTGATTCGTGGAATAATGCAACAGACAATCTTTATCGGCAGTTTGAAAATATTGTACAATATCGAGAATTACTCATCAAATTGCTCGGTGAGAATACAACACCGTTTGCTGTTAAAGACTCGAACGTTAGTGACTTTCGTAAACTTGTCGAAGAACAAAAACAATTACAAAAACAAATCGCCGATTTAAAAGCCAAAGGAATAAGAGATGAAACACTCATCGCTAATTATGAACGAAAATTGGGGATGCGAGCCTGTGGTATTTCATAAACACTTATTTATTTTCTTCTTTAAGATTTCAATAAAAAAGAATAATTGCGATTGAATTTTTCATCTCTTGTTTCTTGTCCTTCTAGATTATCATGTTTTCATATCAAACTCCAATCAATATTGAGCAACAACAAAAGCAGCTCAAAGGTCAACTTGATTCGTTGTACAATCAAATACAACGACCACGACAATCCGCAGTACGAAAGAATATCTTACTCATTGGTCGAACACGTAGTGGAAAGTCAACTCTTAAGCAAATGCTGACGGATCCCAGAGAAGTATCTTCGGAACTGACGTTATTCGCACAAACAAGGGAGCCAAGAATGGATATTGTGAAAATACATCATTCTGATTTAACATTAAATCTAATAGACACTCCAGGTCTATTTGATCGACAATATGACAGCAATGGACTATTAACAAACGATGAATGTCTTCGTCAAATAAGGAAGTATTGCATTGACATACATGTTACTGAATTTCATTTAGTGTGTCTTTGCCTGTCAATGCATTCAGGTATCAATGCCGAAGATATTCAAGCAACCAGACAATTTATCGAATACTTTGGTCCTCGTCTTGCGGATCACCTTTGCATGATAATAACACGATGTGAATCGAAGAATGAAGGACAACGTTTACTATTACACAATGAAATCGAACACGATCAAGATTTTGGACCGATTACCAAACAATTCAAAAAAGGAATTCATTTTTCTGGTGCTGTTAACCTTGATGATTGGAATCAAGCTAATAATGCTGTACTACTACAATTCAATACTATTTGTGAATATAGAAATATTCTTCTGAATCTCATTGAACAGTCAACAAGTTCATTCAAAATAGAGCCATTGCTTATTACACCACCTCTTTCACCTGTCCCATCCAATGAACATTCCACTCGTAAAAAAGGTTAGTGTTTGTCGATTTTGCGGTTAGTCAATCATACATATGAAGTTCAGCTTCAAATGACTGCAAAGATTGCAAAGAAAATGCATTTGTACATATAATCTTTTTTATTCTAGGCTGTGACTGTGTGTGCCTATAGTCTATGAAAAAATTTAGTAGAAAACAAATTATTTTCATTACCAAGACGACTCATATCAGGTGAAGATGGTTTCGTGTTCATTTGCCGAAAATAAAAAACCGAATGGTAAACTTTCATATGTGTCACCGCAAATAAAGTAATAAACGTTGACATCAAGAAAAAAAACAAGAACACAGAGTAATTATATATTAAAAGAAGAGGTGGGTGGATGTGATCAATTGGTGTATGATAATCTGTTTTTCTCTTACACACACACTCTATATATCAAGATTAGTTTCCAAATAATGTTCTTCCAGCTAAATGCTAATTTCTTATATTATAAATGATCTTTTGTTATCAATAAAAACCATTGTAAAAACAACTCGAATCTTTTCATAACATTCGATAATACCCTGCTCAAGCAAAAGTCTCACATGTGAAGATGTTGTGAAAGAAAAGATCTTCACACACACAAATCCGATTTGTTTAAATGATTATTTGATAGACTTTTTTATTCCGATCAGATATCGACAGTATAAAAAAACACATAAGACTATATAGACGTTCATATTGTAAAACACACAAGCAATGTTGTTGAAACAGAGTTAATTTGGAAGAAGAAGTTTTCGATCAATGTTAGGGATTTCCTGATAAAATGAAATAGTCATTTTATAATCATCTCGAGCTTCGTAAATACATTCAAGTTGATAGGAGTAGTTTATACAATTCTAATCAACAATCTACCAACTGTGTCAACTTGTTTCGAAGAACTTACAACAAATATAAGAGAAACCTGTTTATTTTTCGCAGCAGAAAAGAAATTGTTGAACAATATTAGTCCATCTTTTGTTTTCGATACTTTATGAAAGTCTTCGACAGAGAATGAAAGGTTAGAAAAGATCGATGATTTTGAATGATATTGTTTATCAAATATATCGATCTTTTTTAGTTCTTGACAATCATATTCTGAGGAGAAATCAGTGATATATTTGATAGATTATTACGTGAAATATTTTTGTTCATGGAGATAAAACTTACTGCAATCGAATCTATACCATATTCTTCGATATCTGATTTTTTCCATTATTTAATACATTGTTCACCTTCGGATAATCTCATCGTTGAAATCTTTCGTAATGAAAAGTATTTTTCTATCATTAATTTCAGTACATATTTTCTCTTGATTAAAATGGAAATGTAATGACTAAAATATCTTGTTTTTCTTTTCGTTTTTTTCTTCTCATATTTAAACAATTGTAATAAAAAAAAGAATATTTCGATTGGAAATATAAACAGATATTCGTATGTGGATATGATCAATCGATATTATATTGTGTATGTCTTTTATTTAGTTCTTTTTCTTTTCATGTTCGCATTTATAAAATACAAGATTGTGTTCTACTATTCTTTCAAAATAACAAAGAGCAGTGTATTATGATAAAAGAAATTGTTTGTGAGAGAATTAGTTAGTATGTAATTTATTTATTCGCATATCTAATCCTTGATTTTTAGTTATTATTTTAACTAAAAGAATATTCTTTTGATCCTATTCTTGATTCAACTACTTTTCATGAGTTTTCAGATGACGATAGGATGGATATGCAGAAGAGTTTACCACAAACACTCAGATCAACATCCTTTTTTAAAAATATTCAATCTCTCTACGATAGATATCTCTGTATAGTACACTTTTAAAAAAGTTTCAAAAACATTTATTATAAAGAAATTTGACTATATTGAACTTTCAATGAACATCGTACGCCTCACAAGCTACCGTTCTTTTTTGTTCTTGTCCGTTGTTTTCCATGCTTCTTGTAATGCTGGTACTGCTGTTCCACTAGTTTCAGCTAATAAAGTTGCACCTGGTCCTGCTCCTTCTGATGTTTGTATAGTACCATCTGGATTTAATTTTGGATTATTTGCAGCTGAAGAAACATAGATATTCCATGCAGCTCCAGCAATACTTCCAACAATCGGTCGATATTCTAATGGTATGAATCGAAAATTAATAAAGGAGACGAATGGCCAATAACATGATCCGACTGCAAATGTTTTTGGCATATCATTTTTAATTTTGGTTCTCGCTACACTAAGAGAATGACCTTGCAGTAGGACAATCGTTGTGAAGACAATACTGATGTTAATCGGTGCAAGTAGTGTATTGGTCAAGATTTTCTTCGCAATTTGAATACCTTGTTTACCTATTCAAAAGATTAAAAAATACAACGAGGTGAAATGAATTCCGTTGGAATTAAATTAAAAGTGAGTGTACTGTGCTATCACAGTCCTATTGTGATTCTTTTTTCTCCTTGATATGTCAGTTTCTACTAACCTGGAAATAATCGTTCAACTACTCTTGCCAATGTGAAGGACCAAGGCGTTGATACGAGAACAGCTGCTGTAACCATAATTCGAGATCGTTCACGATCCCACCATGACAGTACAGGAGATGATGATGGTGTAATAGGTTTACCATTTGGCTTCTGTTTATGACTTTCGATGTATTGACATATAAGATCACCACTTCCTACACTTGAACCAATTGCAGCCGTTGTGATGATATAAGACTTGATTAAACCACGCCAACCTATTCAGGAAAAAGAAGAAAATTTAAATGATGATAAAATAATGTTATATTAGATAGACCATGCATATACCTTGTGTAGTTTGAGTGGCAACTCTTGTAATATTATTACCAAAAAAAACCATGATAAAATCGTTTATTCGAGTGATATATATGGAGAAAGTGAAACATGTGAGAAGGAAAGAAAAACAAAGTTTGTCGTTCGGCGAAGTCGATGAGTGCAAACATTTACATCAATAAGAACGACACCATACATGTGGTAGTTTTTCCTTTTCTCTTCTGTTCTCTTCCCGATGATGAGATTATTTCTTATTTATAAATGAAATGGAATATTTTTCTACCGCTCTGTAAAAGAAATATTTTCGATTTTAATAACAATGATCAGTGCATTCTATTGTACATCAATAAATTCTCGACATTACCACTATCAAACTGATCGAGATATGAAAATTTTTCTAAAAATAGTGCTTAAATTTAAGATTAGATAACTTTGATAAAATATTCAATAGTTGATGGGTGTGGATATATTATATCTATCTTAAACCCGCACACTTACACCCTTTTCTGTTATAAATAATTTCTAATATAGATTTCATCAGATCTTAGGTAATATAATTTGATATTTATGGTGCACTCATATTTTGATTTTGTTCTTAATTATGAAAATTAAAATTATAATAAAATGAAAAAGATTGTTATGAACAGTAATACTAATCAAAATGATATTTAAATGGAAATTTCTTTTTCGAAGATTTTTCTGGTAAATGAATTTCATTTAAAGATAAATGATATTTATTAAATAATTCACGAGCAAGTGTAATCGAATCACCTGAAAATATAAAACATTTCTTTTTTTAAATCGAATTAATGCAAAAAAAAATGATATACCTTGTGTAGTTGTGGGATAAACTTTTGTATCTAACATAAAGAATGGTAGTTCTGCTTCTAAAAATAACCGTTCATTCAAAACCTTCCAATCCAGTGGATGACCCTACAATGATTTTGGATTTTTAAAGAAACACACACAATGTAATTCATACTTCGACAAGACATTTAAGTAAAATATCAAAGAAAACATACCATCGTGGTGCATAATAACTTTACAAAACAAACAACAATTATATATTATTTATTTATTTATATGTTGTTTATACATACTCTCGAATCATTCCTGACCAAAATTTGTTTGCATAATCATAGAGTCCTAAAGTATAATTATTTCCCCAAATTGATACTTGAAGTTTGGCATTGAAATTATAAAAATGTATATCTTCTTCATTTTGAGCAAATTGTAATGCGTCATTAATCCAATTTCCTAATAGAAATCGACGATCAGAAGCTAATATTAATTCAGTATCAGCTAATATATCAACAAGAATAGCAGCTTGAGTACTACAATTATATATATGAAAGAAAAGTAGATATTCTATTTCTTCTACGAACCTAACTCCATAAAGATCACTTTGATTAAAAGCAGATATTAATTTAGTATAAACATCATAAAATTTATATTGAAGAACTTCTTTAGTTATATCAACTAAATCATATCGAAATAAATCCGAATGAACTTCATCTGATGCGCCAATTAATAATTCCCATGCTGAAAATAATGATTTGAGATCAAAAGTAATCTATAAAATATTGTTATTGTTATCAAGAAGTTTGATTCAAATCATAAATCTTACATCTTGTTCACCATTAAGTCTTGGTCGATATAACATCATTGATCCATCACCACGAGGATTTTTTGCATAAACTGAATCACCTAATAATTGCCATGCATATAATGCTGAACCAGGTATAGGATGATCACTCTCATAACGACGCATAACAAATCCAACAAGCCTAAGAAAAAGAAATCTTTTTTTTTATATAAGAATAATAAAATTAAAAATTTTACCAATCACTTAATTCTGTGTCATTCAGTGGACTACGCCATGATTGTTCAAGAGCAAATTCATACATAATTTCATTTTGATTAATACCTTCCATAGTAATACCAACACCAATCATTTGATTACCTGAAAAATTACGTGCTGTTTGTGGACCCTAAATAAATTATATACACAAATATCTTCTATGATTAAAAAATAATATATTTGATTTACTTTAGTAACATTAAGAAGTGAACCAAATAGAACATTATTTCCACCAAAGTCATGTAACATATTCCATATATAATAATGACCATAGAATGATTCAAATTGGGAATATTTTGGAATCGATTCAGAATATAAATCGAGAAGAATTAGATGACCCTAAAATTAAAATATCAATTGTAAATTTTAACAGAAAAATTAAAATTTCTTACTATAGGAACTTTACTAAGATAACTTTGAACTCGATCAGGTTTCCAAAAATCTGAAAGGAATAGCCAAGCTTGCATAACCCTTTATTTAAAACATAAAATTAATCGGTATTTCATTTATAAAAATAGATCATACCAAACAGCATTTGGATCAACTGTTTTCATTGCTTGAAAAATACCTGCATTCACATCAGCCAAATATTCAAGATCACTAAATTAAATAATAGTACCATATTTATTACATTAATAAATAGAAATATACCTAGTAGGTGGGGTCATCTCATTAAATAAGTCACAAGCATAAAAATGAGATGTTAAATTAAGTAGAGTGATTGTCTATCAGAAAAGTTTTTAGATAATAGATTTTTTTGTGAAATTAACATACTTCATTTAATAGTTCAACTCCAACTTTTTGAAAGAATGAATCAGTTGGATCGAGATATGGCAAACTAAAATATATAATTAGTTTGATCTATATGTGTTTATTTTTCTATAAAAACACAAACCATGATTCATTACATCCAAAACCAACCCAATCCGATGAATTATGAAATTGAGCTGAAGGAAAACGTCTAAAAATGAATACTCAGATTTTTGATATGTCATTTGTCATTATTTTTTTCGGCTTACGATGGTGCTGTACGTGGCATAAAACCAGTAAAAGCAGGTAAAACTGGTATAATACCAATATCAGTCATTCGCTGAATGATCTGTTTAGCAAGTTGAAATTGTGATTGATGCCAACGATTCGATAAAGGACCACCATGCTTTTGAAGATTACCCATACGAAACCTTTTTTTTATTTTATACACATAAATATTAATTCAATAAATGTGATGATATTTACCAAGCTAAAAATGCAGGACCAGTAAAATAATCATCAAGTTCTGTTTGAGGAAAACCCATTCGTAGAAATACCTAAATACATTAGAATAAGAATTCATATTATTGATTTGAAAAACAAAAGACTTTATTATAAATATATTCCATTCCAGTTGTTGCATAAACTAAATTAATACCATTCATAGCCATCCAATCGATTTCTTTTTCCCATCTTTATATTCAAGAAAAAAGAAAAAAAACATGAAATAGATAAACTGTTTTTATTTTTACCTTGAGAAATTCCAAAATACAGCTGAATAACTAAATGTGCATGGATTTCCATACCAACGATACAAATCATTAGCAACTATTCGAATTGGTTCATGTATTGGAAATAATGTTGAATTAGATAATCGAATGTTTTTTCCAGACCAATAAACTAAAGAAAATTCAGTTCAATTCAATTGTTTATTTTTCTATACCTGAACTATCTGCTACATATTTCAAATAATAATTAAAACCCCAAGCAGCAGCCACACCAGTTGATGCAGAAATTTGTATTGAACCTGATGTTGATCCATTAGAAAGTACAAAAACATCTTTGCCATTGACAGCTAAATCTGGTTGAATGGAAACTTGAAAAAGCTTAGCAGATGGAGCATTATCAAGTACTCGAGAAATTAGATCAGAAATAACTTGAGCCGAAGATGAAGATGAATATGTAATTGGTTTTGGCCATTCAACAGCATTTGATCCTTTAAAACAATATTATAAATTAAAAAAATCTATTCTGTTCGATTCTTTCTCTCCAATTTATAGATGTAATACATTTTAGTATCATCTAAAGATCTGGCCATTACTTCAAGGTAAGATATTGTGGATATATTCAACGAAGGTTCTGAGCAAATATGATACATAAAAAATGGAGTGTTATTTTGCAAAAACTGTTGAATCACCTATTAATCATATCATAATCTCCTTCACCAATATATTAAAAATATCCTATTGACTTACTAGATAATACTAATGAACCCACAATATACAATAATAAATAAAACGTTATCGTCATCTAGAGAGCACAGGTTTAGTTTATTCTTCGGTTTTTTTTCTTATGCGAAGATATAGAATAAGATAATAAAAAAGAAAAAGAAAGATCAACAAAAAAGAAAAAGTGCAAACATTAGTTTAATATCACATTTTCAATGTCGAACAGAAAAATGTGAATCTTGTAGTTTAAATATGTTTGTATTTTATGATCGTACAGCATGAACTGTTTCTTCTTTGTTAATCAAATGACATGTTTTATTAATAATTGTCATTAATGAATTAAGATTAACCGACCATTCATTAAGAATTTCTTGTGGAGATTGTTTTTGTTGAAATGTAACTATATCTTGAAGACGATCTATTTTGGCAATAATTGTTTTATTGGAAACAAGATTTGATAAAAATTGTTCAGCTTCATCTTTAGTTAAATCAAGTAAATCAGCCATTTTTTGTGTACGAACACGAGTATAATATTTAGCCATAATACGAATATTATGTTCAACTACACGAACTTTAAAATCTTCCCAACATTTTTTTCCATTTTCAGTATTTGCAAAAACAGTTGTTGCTGGTTCATTTGTACTACCATGTTTAAGTTCATTTTCAAAATTTTTAAGTATATCTTTCCAATGAATAATTTCTTGAGTTTTAAAACGTTGTAATAAATCTCTATGAATAAAAAGAAAGATTTTTAAAACAAGAGATTATTTCATTTCATTTATACTTGTATTTTGGAATTTGTTCAAGATTTTTATCAAGAAATAAACGATGTAAAAAATCTGATTGTTCATTATTATATGGTGATAAAGCCAAATAAAGTACAACATATTTTAATGCTTGTTTCATTTTTTCCGCATCTTGTTTTATACGTGGTGTATCATAATAATGTTTATAATGTTGACAAACATCAAAATAATTTTTTTCATGTAAATCCATTTCAATCATTAATTCATAATATTTCAATTTTAAATCCTAAATAAATTTAAAATAGTACTTTAGTCAAATGAGAATATCAAGGGAAATAACTCGGCTTCATATATTTTTTTCGGTTCATGATCTATAAATTACTAGAATAATCTTCTTAATTCACTTCTGCAGAGCGTATACTAGATTTGGAAACATTAAACTCCTCAAACTCTAGTTTTATTCGTTAGAACAAACAAAGTTTCACTTCACACTTAGGTTAATCTCAAGATCAACGTTATATTTCAATTCCTATTGATCAACTTTGATGGGAGTATAGTTCCACCAGTCCTACACTTAGCGATGGAAAAAGGAATTTCAAAATCGAAGAGTCATAAGTGACTTTCTACGAACTCTGCTCTTATGTATAAAACTGATTCCCTCTAATAACGCCGAAAATAAAAATGTCGAAAGATCAAAATATCGAAAACCCAAATGCTGCATAATTAGAAATGTTGTGAATGAAAGAAAACACCTTTCGCCCTCATCCACACTATTATATTGCCGCATACACCCTCACTTTTGTATTTGATATTTTTATTTTTCGATCAAATTAGGATTAACCATAAAACTATCTATAACTTGATCGATTCATCAAAGTAGATTAATACGAATCGGAATATGACGCTGTAATTCTCAATCGGACATTGGATGCGTCCATTCCGAGATTTGTACGTAGTCTCAATTTGAACCCTGATATATATCATCTTAACTCTACTGTTTGCTATGGAATTTACATGTGATGCTTCATCTTCAAAAGATTTGATATTGATTTTTTTTGATATAATTTGTGTTCGAATATAATCATGTTTAGCTAAACATAAACGCATTTGTTCAAGTAAAAATTCAAGTTTTTCTCGACGATCCATTGTGCCATAAGTTTCTACCTAAATATATTAAATAAAGTATATTAAATTAATAAATATAAAAAAATTTACTTGAAGTTCTTGTAAAATTTCTGCGGCTTCTTTTGTTTTACCTTGACTTTCATAAATATCAGATAATTTTTTTGTTAAACGAGCACGTTCATTTTCTACGAAAATTTTGCCTGTAGTAACATTACGAAGTGTTTCAATTAATTTCAATTTTGTATCTAAATCAGGTGTTTTTTCGACAAGTTCATAAGCTTCTTGTACCATTTTTGTAATGGCTTGTTTCAATTGACTACGACGTTTGGATAATGTAACAACATGTTCATTTAATAATTCCCATTGTTTTCCTGCATAGCAATATTTTACAATAGCAACAAGAACACGTCCTGTAGAAATCGCATCAGCCGCCTAGACGAAAGATCATATATTTTTTATTTTAATTAAAAGATAGTTTTTCGAAATTCTTACAGTACGTGTTTGCTTTTCAAGTGGTAATAATCGATCAAGTGCTTCGTTTAATTTCGATGGATCCTAATTGAATAAGATTAAAAAGAAATTTTTTTTAAACAAAAATATTAAATTTACTTTCATAAGCTCATCACATTCTTTAAGTTTTTGATCGACAACTGATGAGTAATCAATTTCCATTTTAATATGTCTATCAGCATCACCCATGTTAGTTATTATTATTGAATTTTAAGATCTATAATAGAATAAAATAATATTTCATACATTTTTAAACAATAGATGTAACATCTATGATGTTTAAATTTATTGACAAAACCACTATGAAATTCATCGAACCGGTACGTATTCCTTTTTTTATTAAGAAGTAAGTGTGAATAGAAAGACGTTTCTATTAGATACAAGGTTTACCAATGAGAAAGAGTCCTCTAAACAAAAGCGCCATCTATATATTTTATTTAAAATACAAGCGCACTACTTCATCTCTAATGTGTACAGTTCTCTTTTGATTATTAAAAATATTCCTATAATCGTAAATAAGTTTCAAGCGAAAGTATCTATCACAGATATAAATCGATTTCTATATTGAATAATAGAAAGTTTATAGAATCCATTCATGTTATACATTTCAAACAGCAAATATTTTATTTTTGAATTTATTTCAAATGTGACAACGATATGATAAACAAAAGGAAATCGATCTAATGTATGTCTTCTAGACATAGTTATCTGGTATTTGAATTAAAGAATTCAGCTGGTCTAAATGAAGTGCTGACAGTAATGAGTATCTCTTATCGATCAGCACGTACGATGTTTATTTTTGATCAATCACACGTGTTGTCTGCTACTTCAAAAGCACGACGTGTTGATCATTGATCATCTTTGCTCGTTTTATTTTTTTGTACGTGAACATGACGATGAAAAGGGCAAGATATCATCCGAAGACATCGCATCAGAGAGAGAAAAAAAGAAATAGCCAACATATCGTTGTCTTTCTCATTCATTTACTATTTAACCCATTCAATTACACAGATCAATATGAAACTTCTTTTGTTATTACAATTCATAACTGTAAATGCTATATTAAATTTTAAAAAGCATTCATTATTAAATACAACTGATCATCGTATACTTTCAAATGTTAAAATCTATTCAAATCTTGCTGAAATTATTCAACCATTAGGTAAATTACCACTTGAATTTTCTGCTGAAGATTGGGCTGATATACGATCGGATTCAATGACACTTATTGGTACAAATGTTAATGTAACACAACAAACAATCACTGAAAAGAAAAAATCATTGAATAATCTTCCAGTTTATATACGTTCACCAACATCATCACATACGGAAACAAAATTTCTTAAAGGTACAATGATTGATGAGAATCGAAATCTTGTTAAAGTTATTGATAAAGATATCAGTAAAGATCCTGTTTATCTGACTGTTCCAGCAAATGATATAATTTATGAAGATGAACCATTTCAATCAAAATATTATGTTAATTTTACATATGAAACAACTGATGCTGTTTATTTAAGTTATTTACGTTCAAATCTTAATTGGAAAACACGTTATCAATTAAGTTTATTTGAAGAATCGAAAAGTCCAATAATTATTGCTATGGCGGATATTCGAAATGATGGTAAATCAAGAATTGATGTTGAACATGCTGAACTTCTTGGTGGTGATATTAACTTACGTATGTTTGAACAACATCGATCAGAACGATATGAAGCTCGAGAACATGCTGTGATGTATTCAATATCACATGCACAATTATCAACAGGGTCACCACCACCATCAGTTTCACGTGGTGAAGAAGTAGCTGGTTTATATGTATTTTCTATTAATCAACCATTTTCAATTGATGCTAAAACAAATTATATTTTACCAATGTTTCGTCCACAAGTAACAATTGA